GAGACGAAACGTTTCATTAGAGAAGAACCCGTCCAGAAGACCTATACTATTTTTGTCTTTTTGTTTTTTTATATACAATATAAAACAAAGAATACACAAATCAAAATAAACTGAAAGGTAGCAGAATAATAAATCTTAAAATGTCTAATTTTTAATGTATAATTTTATTCAAATAAACTTCTCAGAGTCACACAGTTTCACATTTAAACCTTCACTGAAACGTCCTGAATGAATGTATGAATAGCCAAAGTAATCCCTCTCTACAAGAGTGGTGAGAAATGTTTACAAACTATAGATTGAAATCATTGTTACCAGTTTTCAAATCATTTGGAAAAGTTGTTTGTCACCAGATTAGATCAGTTCATTGACAAACAAAATATTTTAAGTAAAAYTCAGTATGGTTTTAGAGCTAATAACTCAACATCAATGGCTCTCATTGACATAATTGAACACATAACAACAGCTGTTGATCAAAAACAATACTGTGTCAGTGTTTTTGCATTTGATACCATTGACCACAGTATTCTTCTTGAGAAATTAAACAAACATGGCATAAGAGGTTTGATACTGCAGTGGGWATCAAGTTATTTAACAAATAGGAAACAGTTTGTACAAARTAATGATGATAGTCGCAGCTAGATAGTCTGAACTTTCTAATATTGTATGTGGGGTTCCACAGGGTTCTGTACTGGGATCAAAGTTGTTTCTTCTATATATTAATGACTTGTATCAAGGTTGTTCAAAGGTTTTATTTGCAGACAACACCACATTTTTTTGCTCGGGTAAAAACATAAAACAGATGTTGGAAATGATGGAAATGTGAAGTTTTTGGGAGTCATCGTTGACAAAAAAAAACTGACGTGGAAACCTCATATAAATGACTTAAACCAAAAAAAACCAAACACATTTGACGGACAGGTGCACTTCAGTAAAAGGTATAAGACCATGGAATTATCTGGAAAATGATTATAAAAGCTTTGGATCAATTAATTCCTTTTAAAAAACGATCAAAGCAAAATTGTTAAAGAAATATGAAATTGTTTAATTTGTATTTGTATGAGGTACTGTTTGAGGAGTTGAATTTTTTGTTTTGTTTTATCGTTTGAAATTAATATAATTTTTGGTAAAGAGGAGCAGATATAAGATTTTTTTTCCTTCTGCTGCCTTTCATTTTATTTTACTTGTATTGTTTTGTTGTATGTAATGTTTTGTTTTTTAAAATGAAATGAATAAATACTATAATAACAAAAATAATGTCTTTTTAAAGGCAGCAGCCCTGAAGGCCCAGTGCGCCGCCTCCTCTCTCTGATTAGGCGTCTGGAATGTAGAGCTGGTGACCGAGCGTCTACGTCAGCGTTGACCCAGCAGCTCCTTCAGTCGGACACGATGCAATTACAGCTCTGGGAAGGAGGACACCGTTTTCTTTTCTCTGTTTTTAACTCCTCTAAGTTTCATTTCATCTTGAGAGCTGTGAAACCCCACCGAGACGCTGCGTCTACAGAACGTTAGCAAACGAAGCGGGGAGGGAGGCNACCTAAAGTTGAGGGGGAGGCCGATCAGGAATGATTGTCTCTGTTGGCAAAGACGTCAGCGTTTGGTCCTCTTTGTTTCTTCACACGGTTACATCAGAGGCTTCACTTCTGTTTGAAAGGAATTTGTGACACGGCTCAGCTCCCCTTCACAGAACCCAAAACAGAAAATATGAAACGGTGCGACTCTTCCTGCGTTACGAAGCGCTGATGTTTAAACATTTCAAGACACTCAGAACCTCAGACGGTCAAAGGTCGTGAAGCGCCTGAGACACKCGGCAGGAAAAAACTCCTGTTGTTAAACCTGTGACCTGTTTCTGACCTTACAGAGATGATTCAAAATGATAGCATTTACAAAAAAATTAAATATTAAATCTGATACAATAATAACAACTGTTCTTTAACCCACAAGCAAACAAACAGCTCAGCCTATAAGTRCATGGTTTAACATTTACACTATAAATCATTACTGAATTATTTTCTTATAGCAGTTAACTGACTTTAAAATGTATTTGACTTGTGTTTAACACACTAAACTAAGAAGTAAATATTCAAAACAAACTGTATACTGACATTTTTATCAAAAAACATAATCCAAAGCAGCAACATGCCAATATCAGCTAGTAGCTAAAGGCTGCTAACCTGTTAGCCACCTGTAAGTTACATCCTATTACTGATAAAACTGATACAAAGAACAAAAATGTWTTATAGACCTAACAAAGTGACAACATCTGCTATTTTTTCTACATCGGCTACTATAGCAAACTTAGCCAACAGCTAGTTACGCCACATTAGCTAAACAACAAATTTAAAAAGAACTAAAATTAAAAATATAAAAATGTTTTCTTTGTCTTCTACTTTTTCTACATCAGCKACTGTAGCAAATAGCTGCTAACCCGTTCTTTCACTTCCTTCACATTAGCTTCTGCGGTTGTTAGCTAGCCCTCGTTAGCTCAACCACTGATTTAAGAAACATAAATATTTCTATTCTATGCAACAGCTTCTATTTTTTACTTTAGCCACTGGTGCTAATGACTGATGACCTGTTATATTGTTTGCTCACTAACAACGCTGAAGACAAGAAAATGTCTAGACTTAAATATGTGACTTATTTTATTCTTTAGCCACTGTAGCTAAAGGCTGCTAATATTTTACATCCCATTAGCAACTACGGAGCAAAGACAACTATTTTAAACCTAAAAATGTGTCAACCTCTACTTATTTTATTCATTAGCCACTGTCACTAAATGCTGCTAATCTGTTAGCCACATCTTGTTAGCGCAACTTAGCTACATAAAACAATRCTAGACCTAAATATGACTACTGCTTTTTTAGTTTTTGTTATTTTTATTAGCCGCTGTCGCTATTGGCTGCTAACCCGTGAGCTATATTTCATTAGCTCAACAATAAAGAAACAGACTTCTACTTATCTTTCAACTTTAGCCACTTTCATTATGGCAGCTAACCTGTTAGCCACTTGTTAGCCACACCCTTTTATGTCAACAACTGATTTAAAATAAGAAAGATGATTTATTGACCTAAATAAGTCCGTGGTAACTCCATGTAAAAACAAACAAACAGCAGAATATTAGCAGGTTTGTGATTTCACACTGACCTGGCAGGGTAAGTGTTCTGCCAGGCGCTGCTCAGGGCATCCATCTCTGCGGGGTTAAAGTCCGGCTGGCCTTCATCGAGCTTTGTGAGGTGCCACGAGTGAGGGCGAGACGCCGGTTCAGAGCGTCTGCGGAGGTAAAACACAGGAAAAGATTCAGAGTCTATACGGTTCTGGACATTAGAACACGGGTCAGGTTCAAAAACACTTTAATTTGCTTCAAACACCTAAAAGAGACGCAAAAAGACAAGATCAGACAGCTTAGGTCATGAGACAGAGCTTCAAGGCCTCTGATTTATTTGTGAGAATCATTACCAACTGATTTTTATCCCTCTGACATCACCGTTTATTTTAAAAAGCCTTATCTAACCAGTTGTGATAACAGACGCTGGTTAGCGTGGCGACTGCGGTAATCTCCCTCTGACCAGCGTCATATTTGACATGTCCCGTTTCTCTGTATTTATTCTCAGAGATAAACAGGAAGTGATTTTATCTGGCTGGAGTTTGGAGACAGGAGACATGAAAGCTGGCACCTCTGGGACCTGGGTAATGACAGGACGTGACTGGAATACCTCAAAACTTTATCAACACTGCTGTACTTACAGAAAGATTCACCTCAGGGTGGAAACCAGTGCATGCAAAAATACGTTTTTTTGTCTTTTTATGGTTCTGTTTACAGAAAAATAATCTTTATATCCCGATTATCTAAAGAATTGAAAGTTATGAAACATTACCAGTGTTCCCACGGATACTTAAAAAGTCTTAAAAGGCATTAAATCTAAAAATAAGGCCATAATTAGCCTTAAAATGTCTTAAATCAATCTTTTAGAGGTCTTAAACATGTTGTAATATGATGATTGTTCTGTGCTAAAATAAACATTTGAGTAAAAATGTTGCTTTTTCTTTTTTTCATTTGTTTATTGTGAAATTGGTCTTAAATTTCATTTCAAGTGGCATTAAAAAGTCTTAAATTTTTTTTGCCTTAAGCCGTTGGAACCCTGATTACAAAAATCCACTTTGAATTCTAAATATTAAACCAGAGCAGGGGCGGCACAAACAAGGTGGCCTTGGGGGGGCTCTGCTCACCTCCGTGTAATCTGGCGGGCCTCCACAGGTGCCACCCCTCTCTCAACAGGGAGGTTTTTATCAAAACTTTCAGGAAATTATCATTTAAAGATACGTCTACAGCTGATAAAATTTTGGAGCCAAAATCTTTCCAAGACGGCTAACACCYCCAAAAGATCGTAGAACCCGAAAACGGTGACGATTCAGTCTGTTTTACAAGAATATATTGATACGCTGAAATATCGCGATATTTAATTTCCTATTCCATCGATTTTTAATAGAAGCCGACTGAATGGATGTTGTAAGAAAAAATGTTAAATACAAATACAGTTCTCATAAAAATAAACTGAATTTAATCCATTTTGTGCATTTGGACAAAAAACGGCATTAAACCCCTTTTGATTACAGTATCATAATATAATCATAATATATCATATCACCAAATTATTGCCAATCCACAGCCCTAACAGACAGGGTGTTAAAGTTAGGGGTGGTAGTAGCAGGGAGTCATTCCTGAGTTAGACTCTACTCTTTAGACATCTTTGCTTACATTTTATTATTATTATCAGTTGTGATTCGTTTCCCATCCAAGTCATCTCAACTTTGCCATGCTTCTCCTCCTGCATACTTTGTCCTAGAGCTGCCATTGTAATTTGTATCTGTAAAGCTCCTGTGCCAAATGATGGCTATGCCTTTTGGTGCCTGTACAACTTATAGTTTTTGAAATATTAATGTTTAATATTTTTCCCAAAAATCATATATTGGCAGTAATTGGAGCCTTGTTTTGGTCCAATACTGCCCCCTGCTGTATCTACTCAGTACTGAACCATAGTTTAATAATATTTAATCTCAATAGTTCAGTGTTTACAATACTAATATGATTGTATTTTGATGTTTTACTATAATATTGTCCTAATATTGCTCTCCTGCTGTAATACTGTATATTGCAGTTTAGTGTCAACAATTGCATTGGCAATGTGGCCTCTTTCTGCACGCATACAAACCAACCCTTGGCAGTACCCTCTGCCACAGCTCCAATGGTCTCATGGTAAACTCTATGGGCTTTCATGTGGGAGATCAGGGTTCAAAACCCAGCTACAGCAACTTTAACAAAAAATCTCTACAAACTTCATATTGTCACACAATTACTATAATTACAGACACCTGCTGACTTGACAAGCACAAGCTGGCAGAAAACACATTTGAACTTGGTCACATTTCATTCTTAAAGTCCACTGCTGCAGGCAAAGCCATGCTGCAATGACATGCTACACGGCAATGCACACTTGTTTTTACATCGCAAAAACCCATGTCTAGTTATTATTATTATTATTATTATTATTATTATTTGTTAGAATCGACCCCTTTTCTCAACATAAAATGAGTCAAAACTCGTGTGTGATATCAACTCATTTAAAGAATATTAAGCCTTTGTTAGCATGTTGTAAACTGTGGTTTTGTGCTGCCTCTTCACCATTAAAATGCTCTGAAATCATATCAAAATTGAAAACTTAGTCTGAAAAGTCAAAGTCTAGTTCAAAGTTTGACTGTTTGATTGTCAAATACTTCAGCTCATAACTGAGGGTTTGTCTTTAACCTGGTCCGGTTAAACCCAGCACAGGTGTTTTTACCTGGACGTGAACCTGAGGACTTTGGAGAGCAGGTTGTTGACGCTGGACTCGGACGGCGCTCGACAAAGAGTCCTGCTGGACCGGCTCAGCTCCGGTTTCTTCTGCTTCTTCCTCAGCTTGGGGCGGTAAAACACCTCCAGCAGCTCCATCGCTCTGAACTACAGTCCAGTTTCTCTCCTGACGCTCTTTTTTTAAAATATTTTAAACGCTTCTTCTCCTTTAGGAAGTCCCAGAAGGTTCCATTTCTGCACCGTTTAGTCTGCGATCCGGATTTTCTACCAAACTTTATGGCTTCTTTTGTGATTTGAAGCCTTCTTTTCCAGAAAATCAACAACTTCTACTCACGACCTGTTTCCACTCCTGACTCCAGTGAGAAGTGTGGTCCTCTCTCCACCTCCCTCAGAAAAGACTCTCGGTCCTGGATCGTCCCCCCCCCCCTCCTCCGGCTTGTTAAACACGAGCAATCAAGTGTCATTAAGCCGCCGTACGATTAAATCAGGAAGTAAACAGCTCGGCCCGAGGAGCGGCTGCTGATGTGCGAGGTGGAGACAGAGCAGGAGGAAGGAGGACAGATGGGAGGAAGGGCGTGATGAAGACGAGGAGCTCGTTAGGGTGGAGATGGAGAGGAATGATGGGGCTGATAGAGGGATGAGAGGAAACGGTGAGGCAGATAAAGGATGAATAAACCAGACACTTCCTGTTTTACAGCGCAGGAATGAAACAAACTTTTGACACACGGGGAGGWGYAYGYYGAGGAGGAGGAGGASAGATGGAGGGAAATAAAACAGTGTTTTATTGCTTGGATGTGATTCTAACGCTGCAGGGAGAGTCTCATGATGCAGCATGTGGTCCTGAGGAAAACAATGACCTGATTGTTGTCGACTACTGTGAGATAATCACCTCCCTAAAAACTCCCGTTTAATGACAAAAGATCCCTGAGAAGACATCAGTAAAAACCTGTCAGAGTCCAACATCAGCTTAAAGTTGATTAAATTAAATTAGGAACTATTAACCAGTTCATTCTGATCTGAACCAAAACATCATGAACTAGAAGCACTCGGAGAGTGCAAACCTCCMTCAYGGCCAATTTCCCCCATCCTGTAAGAGTTAACGCACAAAAACAGAGATGGAAACACATTTGTTGAATAAGTTCTGATGCAGTGAACATTTAAGCAGGCAGTATGCACGGGATTTGTTCCCAGTGGAGTCTAATGTGAAAAAAAAGTCAGGCTCATCACTAGGGGTGTAAGAAAATATCGATACACTGAAATATCGCGATATTTCA